TCTTATCGTTCTTGTTTCTCTCTTATTTAATCTTTTATCCAACTTACTTTTTATCACTCTCATCGTTTCTAACTTTGTATGAGTACTTAATTACCGCATGTTCTTTCGAAGCTAGGTTATTGCGAAAAGAGTAGAGAACATCATGCTTGCAGTTTATGCGTTACGAATTCGTCAGGTATACTTAATTCTCCGAAAGCATAACCGCTCTCACCCTAATAAAAACAATAAAATGGTTACAAGAAAAGAATATTTCCTCTGGCTGGAAAATTTGTTTCAATACACAAATAAATAATTGTCTTTTTTGATGGCGAGGCTCAGGCCATTGAGCTTGCTCATCTGCGCCGTTCTCTGATTCACGTTTCGGAATTCTTAGAAGAACTGCAATGTTGGATGTTGCAGATATGGACGTTGTAGAAAACATAAATTAAGGACTAAGGGACCCAAACACGGACGTGGAATGAAACAAAACACTATGTTGTTTGTGCTCTATAAAATATTGTAAATGATTCGTTATTCAAATTTCCATTCTGGCCACTTCCGTATACGTAATCGATTTATGTTTAATTTGTTTAGTGAGACAACTGAGTGAAAGACTGATAGAACAATTTTCTAAATTAATTTTATTTAAAGGATTACGTATTATGGTTAGTGATCGTAGATCTAATAACTAAAGATATTAATTCAGTAAGCTATAGAAACCCTGTGTTGTTACGGAGGACACCAAAAGTGTTTCGCTGTCTTCCTCACTGCGCTCCATTAGCTGCACATTTCTTATTGCTCGCTCACCCATCTTTTCATTTCCTCCTGCCTCTCTTCCACTTTATTTTCCTGCAGGATTTCTGTCCGCTTGGCTTTTCCCCGAATATCAACACCCTGCCTTGTTTGTTTCGCGTCCCCCAATCGTGCCTCCAGATTGTATGTTTTGTCAAGAAGCACGCGTGCTCTTTTGTATTCGTATACAGGATTACGCGTTCCTTTTAATCTTCAGCTTACAAGGATAATCTCACAGTTCATCTGTTTGCCTTGGGCGCTTGCTTACCTTCATTTGCAACGCAAAACATTACATGGAATAATACACTGTTATTCTATGATACAGAAATATGTCACTGAAGAGATTTCGTGAGCTTTGTAATTTATTTATAATCTATTTACATTTCATATATGAATGGACGTTATCTAAGGTACACATAATGATCATGAATAAACATTCTATTAAATGAGATTAATCTACGATTGTTCACATACAGTTGCGTCGAAATCGTCTTTATACATTATGTGAATAATTTGATCCGAAATTAATTACATATACTTTAAAAACAAGCTAAATAAGAAAAACATTGATCCTACACATTAATAAATCAGTCAAAAAGCAGGAATAACAAAAAAATTATAAACAACTTTATATTATATTGTATTCTTAGACATCCAGTTAATATAAAGGTAAAATAGATAATTGCAGTTTCTACGAAATGGAGAGCAATATTGTAACTAATTCTAATAAATTTTCGGTAAGTAAAATGTTTCTAATTGAAGAGAACATATTCCAATTCAGCTTTTAAATTATTTTTAAGCACAAATTTCATATTGAATAGATTCTGTTTTAACGTTCAATTTGTGATATTGTTAAATTTCCATGTGTCAGGTGACATTGCAGAGTTAATACATGACATATATTCTAATATGTGGCTCGTATAGAGATGTCTAAGTTCCATCCATATTTGTAAGTAAAATGGAATTCACTTCTTTTTCGTAATCATTACTCAATCTAGATTCGTATTTGTGCTCTGATTTTTTAGGCAAAAATGCTCTGATTTCCAATAAAATAACATATTTTAAAAGTCAGAATTGTAGTGAAGTTCTTTCTTCTACATTGTGTATTAAACTGCAGTAAAGAAACACATCTAGACATTTTAGAATGCCAACTAAACTCCGGCGAAGTGAGTCATTCAAACTTTTAAAGGCAGGAAGATTATAGCAATTAACTGGAGTAGTTTACACCGTGAGAACTGTCTGCCTCGTTCACTACTTCCTAGGAAGATAACTGCGGGCTGAGAAGGAAACGTTGTGTTGACAGGTACTCACGTCATATTGCTAGCAAACGAATCTATTACGAAACAGGAATAACTCCACATTTACAGATACATAACGAAGAAAGATCACGTTGTTTTAATACACTAAAATAAAATTTCTGTTCAGCAAAAAAGTAACAAACCATTTCTGTTTGCCATTTAATCTTCTTCACTTTTTAGTGTTCAAAATCAAAGTATTGTAAAAGCAAGGAACGTTATAAGTTACAATCTACTCTAAAAGTCAGTTAAATTAAATCAAAGTTTCTTAAAATCAGCCGAAGAGTATATTTTCAATTGTATCAGATTGCATCAGATTGTATCTTTTGTATCAGATTGATGGATCTAATTTACTCCTTGCAGATGTTCTGAATTGTTTGGCAAAACAAATCAGTGCTGGGAGCACGCTGTTTTTCTCTGCCCTTCAGTGAACTATGGCTAATTATATTGAATGCCGCTTTTATATTAACTTTAAAGTAAACCTTAAATGCAACTAATTAAACTGTTTTCTGATTTATAAAAGAAAATTTAATTTCATTCTTTTAATACTTACACTTTTTTACATTTAAGAAGTTCTTTTTGCTATGAAAATATATTACACAAAATTTTCAAATGCAGGGAAATTTTGGTTCGTTTTTCAAATAATTTCAGTAATAAATTATTTAAGGCGCCATGGCCTTGTTATGCTTGTTAGTTACAGAAATGTCTGATATTGTCCAACTTCTGCTGATACTTCCACTAAGAGCATCCTCAAGGAGCGCCCTATTGTACTCCCTTGCGTTCCAAAGCGCACAACCCACGCGATTCCCTGCACCTCACCCCCTCCCTTGCTCGTCCTCCCTGCACCGCCCTCGGCGCCCGCGCGGCCGGCGAGGCGGCGACACGCCGATGTTATCGCCGCATCTGCGCCGCCGGCACGTTCCGATCGTAAATTTGTCGAGCACCTGCGTTTTTTGTGGACAACGCGGAAATAACTCAAACCCCGCGCCGCGGGGCGAAGGCGGCTCCGGTGGCTCCTCCGCAGGGGATTCCCGAGGGGTGGGGTTTGGGGAGTGTTTCGGGTGGGTCGGTTCCTGTCATTGCGAACGTTTACGCTGCAGCTCTCAGCAGCCGTTTTGTGATTTATTCTTAAAACACTCGTGTTCACGGCGTAGTATAAGCTACAGGTAATGTTCGAATCTGTCTAATTCGCGAGTTAGCCAGGTAATGTTCACATAATTAGAAACGGGTGGATTAAGAAGTAAAAACAGCTTCGAACAGCTTTTCAAACATTATCCGAATGAATAAGCAAACACGCAGCCAACACGAGGTGGCTAGCGTATGTGAAGTACAAATGACAGTGAATGGCTGGTATGTGATTACCACGGATCAGACTGCCGGAAGGAAGTTTCTAAGACTGATGAAAGATGTGTGCACTTTCGAGTCACTGTAATTATCTTATTTCCACACAATATCGCCAAACATAACATACCTCGCTGAATAAGCTGTGTAGAAATAAACTTCTTGTAGTGACAATTATCATAATTCATACCTGTTTTGCCAATTATCGATTAATTCGGGGCAGGTTTGTAACAATTGACATTTTGAATCTCGATTATCGGGTGGTAATAAAATTATTGAAAAAACACAACTGTACGCCGTTGTAAATTCATCAACGCTTTCAAAATATGTTTAATAATACGTCACATTTATATTCTATTCTACTTACACATTTCAGTAGGGCAAGAAATGTTCAAAATGCCTGGGAAAATTACTATGTAACTAATGGCGCTGGTTTTAAATGTTAAGCTGCAAAAAGCTCCCAATACATTTTTCTGTGCATGTTTGAAGTACTAGGTCAGTCGCGGAACTTAACACCTACTAACGTTCTATATCGTTTCAGAAATAAGTCAAAACTGACGTACCTAGGGATATTTGTGTACATAATTAACATTTTATTTTATTGTGTTTAAAAATCCGCATTAAGATATTACAGATCCGTAAAATATATTACAGAACATAATATTGCAGACAGCTCTGTCTCACTTACTCGTGGTTTAATTTTTTTGATCTGGTGAATAGAAAATAACACAATAAAGGAATAATTTTCGTAACTTAGTATTAGTAATTTGTCATTAATATTTACAGGGGCTGTAATTTGAGAATACATTTATCACAAAAGGCGTGCAAAATGTTTGCCTGCAATGTTTGTGCGTTATTTCAGATTAAATTTTGTAAGTAAATTGATACTTAAGTAAAATCTACGATACATTGATTAACGAGTTTAGATGAGTATTTTTAATTAGCTCAAAAATATTTTTGAATGTTAATTATTTTATCTTATACATATTTAAAATGAATAGATGAAAACCAGAACGGTACAAGAGACATTTTAAAAAGTCGGAGAAAAATTAGTTTATTTTACGCTATATTTTAGTATATATATATATATAATATAATAATAATAATAATAATAATTAATATGGGTTTAAGAAAATTATTAACAGTTATAAGTAAATATTAAAAAATTTTCATGACTTCGAAAGTTATCCCCATTATACTGCTTAATCTTCTGTTTGTAGGGTGCTTTATAATTCTGTGCGTTCGTTTTCTATTGCCGCCTGTCTTTTCTTGAAAACTTAAGCATCATTATCTGCAATCGTCAGGCATGTGTACAGATTTATACCAAATTAGCACGTTGCTTTTACTGTAGGTCATAAAGACCAGTTTCCTGCTCTTTTTTGCGCGGTTGTCTTCGTTATTGGAGGCTTGCCGGCCAGTAGGCGCAGTCGTTGAACAGACGTGAATGTCTTCTGAAGCGCGAGAAGCCGACAAAGCGACCCGGGTGTCCTTCGCTCGTGCGTATCTTCCGCTGTTGCCGGATGCCTGGAAAATGTCTCGTGCATTTGCCAGTTCACTCACCACTTTTTTTTCTTTTCAGATTTTCCGATGCAGAATGATGTGACGGTGTCAATGAAGGATCATCGAGGCAGACATTTGGATGCAAAAGGTCGGGAATGAAATATATTTTTTACGTTTTTCATAGAAGCGAGGTTGTTTAGTCACGAATGTAGTATGTGCTTGTGTTAAATTGGGTATTTCATTCAAAAAAGATGCAATGGTTTTGAGGGATAACTAGACATGCATATTTATATTTGGCGTAAATACTAAGCGTGACTATGTTGAAAAATACTGAAACCTTTTGGCTTCAAACGTCATTTAGTCCCGGATCTCCGTTTTTATCTAAAGCCATGTTTCGCTATGTCGCAAATCCCTCAGCGCGTGCAGTTCGGACTTCTAAAGAACTCCAAAGAGCGGAGGTTTCCCACAAGTATTGGTCTGCAAAACCTACTGAACTTGTATGACGTGGGATGGGCTTTGGGAGCAGAGTTCACTTATAGTTTACGAATAGTCGGTAATCCATTCTAGATTCACCTTGAGGAGTTCACAGAAACAACCTGTTAAATCAAGAGCCTATGCATGATCAACAGCAATAAACATGAAAACGACGTATACAGTAGCAAAAAAGCCACACATTCATCCAAATCGAGAAAGTTACATTTACGCATAGCAAAACGGTAATGTTGGCGTGACTTACATTTTTAATGCCTCAAACCCTTAAATGAATGTAATAAATCTAGAAGAAGCGCAAAACTGGGTACTGTAATAATGTTGTTATACGAATCATTTTACATTTTTTATATTCTAAGATATAAATGATGGAGAAACTGTCCATTTATTTTAGAGCAATTTCCAACAATGTGTACGAAGTCTCCTAATAATTTATGTGCAGGTAAAGTATTTTAAATTATTCTGGATACCATTTTAACACTTTACACTGACATTAAGAACAATAGAGATAGTTCTGTGTTCATTTCACTCCAATACACGATGCTATTCACATACTCATACTGAAAACTTCCATAAATATTGAAAGCTGCTTCATTAGCAAGTGATTTATTGCGAAGGTTGGTAGTCCGCCCTTCGTCGCCGCAGGACAAGTGGCGCTACCATCGTTAGTCACTGGTCATAATATTTCGGAAGGGCGGCGGTAGTCGGTCGGCAGGCCTGCTGGCCTCAAAGTTTGTAATTGGTTGCCGATATTTTACCTGGAGACCATCCTATAAAAGTATTGCTGCCGTCGTATTTTAGTTTTAAGGAAGGCCGAGAAATTCCGACATTAAGCACGTAGTAGTGGAACCTGCTATTCCGGCCAGTTAAGTATCCTTCTGTCCAATGTTGCCAACCCAAGTCGGCATTAATCTGCAACACGACATTTATAGTTCAATCTCCAAGGTGATCCTCGCATTTTAGTTCAAGCAGATATTCCAATTATTCCTTATAGAATCAAGACTGCAAAAGTGACTCTTGTAGTATATACGTAGATTACCTAAAGTATTCTTCCGACACAATATCCGAAGGTGAAACATATAAATTCTGGTAACGGCTGGAGTCCTAATAGCACATTCTGTTACAGTAAACTGGTTACACACAGTTATGCAAGAATCATTTTGTTGATTATTTTTGTCACCTCTGCTTTTGAATGAGAACGTAATTTTTTTCATTCTAAAAAACACTGATGGGGAAAGTGTGGGAATGGAAGCAAAAAAATGAAATAAATATGGGTTCAGGAGGTGCTCTCAGAGATGCTCACAAGTGGAAACAAGCAATGAAAGGAGCGAGGAAGGGTGGCGCGGTACAGGCCCAAGGACTCTCGATCCCTCCCGGTGTAATTCACGTGCGACCGGCGCGGTGAATGCAGTGGAAGTGGATGAGATTATCCCTGGACCATTGAAAAGTCGTTGGGCGTGAACACGTTTTTTCGCTCTGAAGTACGTTTTTAAGAACTTGAAGTCACAATCTCTTAAACGCTTGTTTGAGGACAAAGTGTGAATTTATTTTGAACAATAACGCAATGAATGTATTTAATACTTGTTTCAAAAGTAAATTATTGTTTTTTGATTTTTTTAAATAATAATGGCAAAGAGTAATATAAACATTTCTGTTTGATGCTCATTATCTTCATCATCTGATTATTTGCTGATTCTGATGAAACCATTCAATCAGTGCTTTTTTTATTTTAAGTATGGTAATGTAAACCCCAGTAGTTCATTTATTCTAAAATTCTCTCAAAAATTAAATTTATCGATTCCTATTAACACAGAAGAAAATTATTCCAAGTACAACATACCATGAAATTAGCGTTAAGTATAAAGAATTCCTTTTGCACTTTTTTCCCCTTTTTTTTACTTTTAGATTAAACTTCTCTCACAGGAGAATAACAATTCCCAACTTGTAAGAGAAAAAGTTCAGCATCATAAACATTTTGACAAATGTCTAATCCTTGACAAGGAAATAATTTTATGCCGAACCAGGGATAGGGAAAGAAATGCGTTCGTCTTTTTTACCTGCAGTGGAGCCGAGGCGCTTTTCTCTGCCTTCCCTCCGCCCTCGCCACATCTTCCTGTTCCCACCGGAGACTCAAGGTCACTGAGGTTCATATTGTGGACTGCATTAAAGACATAGAACTGCTAAAAAGACTTGTCATCGCGGTTCCACATTTAACTGCAACTGACTAGCGGTACTTTAAATGTGATCGTGAAACTATGAAACATAATATAGATTTCGTATAAATATGAATAACAAATGTTAAAGTAGATATGACTGATTATCGCATAGACATATTGAAGATGAATTTGTAACATTTATTCCGATGACTTTACTTCCCTATTGATCTTGATGAACTCAAAATCCAGCAAATTTGAAATGGATCTTCTGTTTCTGAGGAGTACGCTAAGCGGGTACCATAGGACATTTACATTTTTTTGTAAAATTTATGAGGCACAAAATTATAAGACATGTTCCTCCCTCAGTACAATATGAATAATGTACACATGTAAAATTTTGGAACTTTTCGTCTCTCTCTTATATTAACATTAAAAATTTATTTAGTGCATTTGTTAACCCAAAATATTCAAATGATCTCTAATAAAGATATAAAGAGTTCGAAGTGTTCGTTTAGAAGTGAGGCCGAGGAAGAAAAAATGACAGATTTTCAATAGTCCCAAACAAATTTTCTCAAAAATTACTCCTAATATTTTCTCTCGAAAATTTCTTTATTAAAAAATGGTTTTTGATAATATTCCGAAATTTTAATTTCTCTTTTAGTATTAGGAGATCCGAAAAATAATGAAAACGTGAAATAAGGTGATTTTGATCAAACATTAACGTTCATTTCATTCATCATCACATTTGATGTTTCATTAACGAAAATTGAAAGTAAGTGGCGGACTTTGAATATTGTTATTTAAATTCTGAGTTCAATAGCGTTGTGTGAAAATTTGATTTTGATAAAAATATTACCGAACGGTTCTTGTTCTGCTTCTTAGAGCTAATCGTTACGATGGCAACACACTTTGTTAAATGATGTTCAGGTGTACTGAGGTCATAGGCGGCATTTCGACACCGAACACTTAGTTCAATTATTTTTTTATTTTTTGTAGGCACCAAAGTTCTACTTTCATCAGCGTTGCGAGACATATGCAAAACACGACCAGTGCGGTTAGAAGATTGCAGTGCAATGCAAACCTCATTCCACGCAATACGAGGAGATGAGCATACTTGTACAACAGTGTTATTTGGTACTGCTTCCGTGTTATTGTAAATAATATACAAATATGAATAACAAACTATTGTTTAATGATTAACTAAATGAATTACCATACAAATAATACAATCATACATCTTGACGTTCATAAAATTAATTTCACTCCAATTTTATTGTACGAAACAAACAATATTTATTTGTACTTCCTCGTGTGCATAAAACCAACTGATACGGCTCCGGAATTCAACTGATATCACTACAGAGCCTATGATCGGGTTCGAGTCCCGAAGGAGGCAGGAGTTTGAACACTAGCTAGATAGCAAGGTTGAATTCAGCTGCTGTCTGGAGCAGAATTCTAGCGACCGGGTGCTCCGATCGGCATTTTTCTGTGATTTCTCTGGTCAACACCCTGCGAATGTGGGAAGAGTACCCCCTACAAATAGATCACGGACCGCGCGGCATCTTTCTTTCCTCTTCCTTGATTCAGCCTCACCCCTGACACACACACACACACACACACACACACACACACACACACTTAAGTGCATCACAAAACTACACATGCGTGGAGAGGCAGACCGGTCGCGAGCTTAAAGCTTATTCCGGGCTGTGCCCTGCTGGTGGAAAATACCTGTCTGAGGAAATCTCCTTTAGCCGACATGTAGCACGGCGCCAGATCTCGCCATTCACCGGAAAAGATTACCGCCACCCCCGGAGGAAAACGCATGTAATATACTAACGGGACTAACGACTTTCGCTGTTTAGATTTATTCAGTTAAAAAAACGGTAAAAACTGTATGTGACGTAAGAGGCAAAAGATTATCTGTGCACGTTTTCTTGAGTTCCAGAATCCCTTCCTGTCATTTAAACTATAAATAGTTGAAAGATGAGTAAAATTTTAGCATAAATAATTAACAATAAATTTTAAAAATAAATTTTAAAAATAAATTTTAAAAATAAATTTTAAAAATAAATTTTAAAAATAAATTTTAAAAATCGAAAGATTAGCAATATTTGAAAAATAGTCATTTTCGTTTCTGAGTTATAGAAAACTTATTTGCATCGGTATACGAATTGCAAGTATGATTTTTCTGCATTGCTAACAAAATAACAACTCGCCCTTACCTCTACTCTTACCATTATAAGCCAAAGAAGAGTTCAACAAAACATGCGCATAGTGATGCTACATTTACGTCCAGAAGCAAAACAAGAGGTCATCTCAGCATTTGCTCCTTGGAGCAGGGAAACTGGACAAAAACCTTATCGAGATGGGGGTCATTGACCCGGAAGCTGAAGTACATTATTTGTTACAAACATATTAAGTCTTTTAAAAAATATACAATGCAAATGTAAAGTAATTCATCATATATCAATGTTTTGTTAAAATAAAAATTATTTTTCTT